AGTAGTTTGTTCTAAATAATTTTTTTTTAATTGATTGATTTTATAGTAACTATGTTTCATTTAATTTTTTATTTATAAAACACTAAAAACTTACTAAAGTTCATATAGAGCTATCAAATTATGTCTTGATATATTTTTCATTAAAATTGTTTTTTATATTTGCAAATAACAATTTATGATATTAAAGAACTTTTGACTAAAAATTTGATTGTAATTTATTATAGTTAGTTTATTTGGCAAATTGTTTTGAAAACACTAAAAATCCCAGCAAGTAAAAAATATATAGGTTAAAGGTTTGTTACACTCTTCCTAGGTTTAAAGAAATCAACAACACCCAAACATTGTATATGAATACATACTGAACAACGCATCACAAATGAATCATGTGATAGGCAGGGACCTTTTTGTCATATTCGAACTTAGTCACTGCACATATTTTAAAACAGAACTAGGCAACCTTAACCACTTGGCCTTAAAGTTTGCATAAAATGATTCAATATCAAATTTAATATTAATTGAATTACATTTGTTTACATGAGTTTTGAACATGGAGTCAGAGTGCACCTCTGTCATCTTAGCCTTCGCTGATGCGGTGGTGGTCATTGTGATAGGAGCCATGGCGATCATACACACTAGCCGCTCAACACTTAACACCTTTTTTGAACAGGTAGTCACTTCCCTAGTTGGGTTTGAACTCAAACGTATCCTATCGCTAATTGTAAGCTTTTAACAATTTTTGGTGTATCACACATGAGAAAGAAAAATTAAAAAACAAATAGCAAATAATAAGAAAATAGGTGAAAGAATTTAATTTTAATTTTAATAATGCTTCACGTCCACAGAAACAGAAAAAATTAAGATAACCATAATAATCATAATAAAACAAAATAAAACAGGAAATAGGAATGCCTGTTTGAGTGTATATTGTATAATAATGATAATCTATTCTATTGACTTTGCCAGCTTGAGATTTTAAAATAATTAAAACAACAATAAAATAAAATAATCATAATAATTAAATTTTAAATAACACTTTGAAAAAATATATAAAAATAAATTTCTATTTTATTTTCTATCTAACGTCTAACCGAGAACGGGTTTGTCAAATCATCTCCTTGCATATCAGAATTAAACTCCTCCATACTATTTTTTTTCAATGTTATTGAAAATTCTACATAAAAAATTTTACACTGATTCAGAAAATGTAGATATCCTTACTAATGAATAACTAAATACATAAAACTCAAACTGCAATCAACTTCTCTGGCTGCACCCACCTTTATTTCTAAACCTACGTAAATAAAGTTGTCATCGCTTTAAAGTGCAGGTGTAAAACCGGTAAAACCATATAAAGCATAAAAGATTTGTCATAAAACTTTTTAACAAAGAGCTTTATAATAAACAGAAAATAACATTTTGTTAAATTTAAAACCATTTTTTTTTATTTAAACCACTGAACTAAAAATATGAAGGTAAATATCGTTATTTTACAATCAAAAAGTTTTGTCCACTGAAATATCAATCAGTGAGTCAGTGAGTGAGTGAGTGAGTAAGTCAGTCAGTCATTCAGTGAGTCAGTCAGTGAGTCAGTCAGTGAGTCAGTCAGTCAGTGAGTCAGTCATTCAGTGAGTCAGTGAGTCAGTCAGTGAGTCAGTCAGTGAGTCAGTCAGTGAGTCAGTCAGTGAGTCAGTCAGTGAGTCAGTCAGTGAGTCAGTCAGTGAGTCAGTCAGTGAGTCAGTCAGTGAGTCAGTCAGTGAGTCAGTCAGTCAGTCAGTCAGTGAGTCAGTCAGTCAGTCAGTCAGTCAGTCAGTCAGTCAGTCAGTCAGTCAGTCAGCCAGTAGTCAGTCAATCAATCAATTAGCTTGTAGAGCGGTATTTCCGCGATGTTCAACAGCGATCCTCAATGGATTTACCAAACAGATGGGTCTTGAGATCCGCTCTTAACTTCGTAAGGGATGGAGAAGTAGTCAGAGAGAGAAGTAGGTAGAGAGTTCCACAGAAAAGGGCCAAAAAAAGCAAAAGCAGATTTAACAAAGGAGTGTTTAACACGGGTTAAAAAGAAGCAAGAACAAGAAGAGAAGAAGAAAATATAAGATAGATAATACATGGATATAATGGATATGGCATAAAGATTAATTTATAACAAAAATTGTTTTTTGTTCTTTGGATCAAGCATCATCGTTGTCTTCGCCAGCATCTTTAATTAATCGTCTGATCTGAAATTATCGCTTGCGAAGTTTTTGTCTCGTTTGCTGTTTTAAATTCGATTTCGTATTGCATTTTATATATTATATACTATATTTAGTACATTTGAAAAGAAAAGGGGTTAGTATAATTTTCTGCATTTATACATTTCGTTTTATACATTTTACATTCCTACATGCATTACAGAAACATAAATAAGTAGTTGAGTACACATGACATGACATTGAGATTAAACTATTAGAGAATCTTAATTCTTAACTTGTCAAAATAATATTAAAAACAATAATACATTTTTAATTAGAAAATATTTGCTTAGTATTTAATTTGACAGACACTAATTATCAACCAAATCAAAATGCCTGTGTGTTTCATTACAAAATGCCACTCATCTTATTTAGATGAAAATGTTACTTTACATTTACACAGGTTAAATTAATTTAGATTATACTATACTATAGCTATAAAGTATAACACTATATAATATAATATAATTATAATAATCAGCAAACAATTATAAATAATAATATAGTATAATAGTAATAAATAATATTAGTAACATAATAAATGCATTAAATGGTAATGTTAACTCAAAGTTGTTTAAATAATTTGTGCTGATATTAATTAAGATAAATTTAAATTCAGACTGACAAAGAGAATTATTAAGAGAATACAATCGGAAAACCTCATTAAAAAATACATTGACAATTACGATGAAAAAAGATTTTAATTTGTAGCAAACATTTTACACCAGGAAGTTTTCATAAAATTGGTTTGAAAATTTTTCTTCAAAAAGATGCTTTTCCAATGACGACAGTGGTTTGGTTTTTCCTTCCCTTGGTGTCAAGGTTATTAAAATAATTGATTTATAAAAATTTTTGCTTTACGCTTTTTCTATATCATCATCATAAAACAGTATACAAGAAAACATATATTACAATTGAATAACAATAAGAACAATACATTAACATTCATTAACAACATTGCCAATAACAGACGGCTACCAATAAACTATTCCTAAAATTTATTAAACAGATTTGTCATGTAATAGAGAGGCAATTAAAAATGGAAACCGAGCAATATAAAATGAATACTGAATCAGTAGTTTCAAATGTTTTTAAAAGGTTGGCCACTGAAGATTTATTAAATCTCAAAGAATATATAAAAGATACATTTAATGGATTAAATAATCATTATTTTTGTTTACTTAGACTTATTGAAAAACATATATAAATGTACCTTCATTTCATTTCGCAAAAACCACAAATCAAATAAAGATCCGTTCTAAATTTCATAAGTTAATACATTTCAAGGGACAATAAAATCATTTATCAATGAAAAGATTTATCAGCCATTTGTAAATTTTGAATTGTTTGATTTACTTAATAATTATATTTGTTTCATATATATATTAAGCATTCTTTTGCTATCTGTTGGTAAAATCTGTATTTTTTATTTGGTCATTATGTTTTCACAAAACCTGTCACTTTAACATCTTCATTATTTTATATTTCATTTTTTTTATCTATGAAATCATTATTTTCAACATACTTTAACATACTTCAATCATTGAGTTTTCAAATTTGATTCATACAATTGTTACAATAATGCATCAACAGTTATTTCAATTCTTCATTGTTTTGGAATTTGTTTTTCAATTCAAAACATTAAACAATTGGCCTTCAATTTTTTATTCCTTTCATAACTAGTTTTTGAAACTATGCTGACGACAAAAAATTTTTAATATTGTAAATATAAATCAAACCCCATTATTGAAATATTTCATTTCATTTAGAATTTTTAGTGAAATATTTTTAAACATTTGTTTAAACATTGCTTCTTTGTTGTCAAATTAGTTGCCATTGACTTACGTAAATGATTTGCACTTAAATATAAAACTATCCTTATTTTAATCGCTAAAAGTAAAGTATTAAAAATACATTAAAAAAATTTATTCAAATATTACTTATCACTGGTTAAATGTAGAATTAACACAGTTTGCTAAAAACAGTCCATTTCATATCCATGGCATACAATATACAATATATAGGCAGATGAGTCATTAATTTACTCTAGCTTTTATTAATAACTAGAAATTATTAAAATTGAAAGCAGACATTTTTACATTTTTTATATATACAATGAAAATTCAAGAAACAACATGAAAGTTTATGAAATTTGGTTCAGCTTTAGATGATTATATACTCAAAAAAAGGTACTCAAATGTATGATTGTCAGCTATTGTTATTACATTACAGTAATTATGAGCAGTCATACATTTGGTATACATACATTCTCATGAATTTACATATCACGTTTATAACAATAATAAAATGAAACGTAAAGACAAATTAATATGAATGAATGATTGTGATTGATTATCAGAATATCCATTGCAGAGCATAGTGAGGGATAACAGTGCAACTTGTAGTTTTGGAAATTAGTATCAAAAAAGCCCAACGCAACTGGGTAAATAAGTATGAAACCACGCTTCTTGTTGTTTACATAGAATAATATTGAAAACATTAAATTTGGCTCCGCCTGTCATTAATATTCATGACCAGCCGAAGCGCTTTATTTTTTTTCAATTTGTGATTATTTTAACCGAATCGTTTCGTTTATTTATATTTGTAATTTTTAATAAAATTCTAATATCATTATTTATTTATTATTTTTAAAATATGTTATAAACATGAGAACTATTTGGAATTTAATTTGGACATTAAATTTTCATATAAATAACAAAACAGAAGTATCGTCTAATAATTAAATTTTTGTTTGGCGCATCGCCACAAATTCTACACTCCATTTGTATGCACTCCGTTTACGGCCCGGGATGTAATGGAGTGATTTACGGTTTGGTGGGCTAGACCGGTTACGGCTGTTATACTGTTATAAGCAGCCCATAGATCCGTCCAAACTGTTGTACCTAAAATTATTAAAATCGAACTATATTTCATAACCAACAAAAATGAATTTAAAAATATTAAACTTTATGAAACCAACCGGGCAGAACATGTCGCTGTATCAATGGCAACAGCGTGGCAGCATCTCGTTTATTTACTTCCACCAGAAAGGCATCTTTTGTTTGCGTATCGATGCCTCCAAAAACCTAGCGTGTCCTAACTGGACGTGCATTTCGGTTTCTCGATCTTTTTGCAGATGAAATGCAGCTTTCATCTATCTGAACGATGTGTCCGGGGCTACCTATTCGTGCAGGGTTAACACGAGCCCAGTCAATGCATAGATCTCGATGTAAATTGAACCAGTCAGGTAAAGTATGCCCGACGTCCAAATCTAAAATCGACGCAACCGTAGCCTGGCTAACGTCGTACATAGACCAGAAATACGTCATGTAAAAGATTACACAGCTTAACTATTACATTTAAATACTTATTTTATTTGGCATCTAAATTATTAATAAACAATTTAAAATATAAGATAATATATTTGTTAAATAATTTAAAATAAAATTACAATAAAATGAAGCGCATCGGTTGGTCATGAATATTAATGACGGGCGGAGCCAAATTTAAAGTTTTCAATATTATTCTATGTAAACAACAGGAAGCGTGGTTTCATACTTATTTACCAGCAACGTTAGCAATCAAACATTACAAACTTATGTTGCTAGTTTTTTGAAGCGAAATTTTTATTTGGTAATAACTCAACTACGGAAGCTATGACGATAATCGAAAACTAGACGATATTCTAAACATAGAAAAAAAGCTAAATGTTTTTTAAAATTAATTTTTCATTGACGTTTTGGTTCTATAGATCAAAATTTTTTGCAAAAATTTATTTTAACCGATGTATGAATATATATATATATATATATATATATATATATATATATATATATATATATATATATATGAGACTTGCCATATCCATGAGATAATATATTACAAGATATTTTGCGGTATGCCGGGAACTGTACAATTCCGATTATAGCTGTAATCATTTATCACCGGCCATTTTGTTTTCTATCATTACGATTTTGATTAAACCAGTAACAAACTTTGAAAAAATCAGCAAAAAGGTTTAAAATCTTTCAAATTATGTCAATTTATAAAAAAAAAACACGCGAGCATTCGCCGACAAATTTACAAATGCTGCTCGCAAAAGTTCAAACAAAATGACATAACTCTTACATTGTAAAACAACGATATTTTCCTTCTTATATAATATAGTTAAGTGGTTTTGTAATAAAATATAATTTTTAAATCTGCTACTATGCATGCACGACGTACATGTAAACGTTTGTTTTAACGAAGGCAGGTGCTGGGGCGTTTTCTTTATAAAATTACATATACTCAGAGGAAGGCCTTTCCCGATCTCAACTCAGCGTGGCTATATGACACCAGAAAAAAGATTAAATATGCTGAAATATTATGCAAATGCATGAAATAAATCAATTATTAAATTTTCAAGATAAAAAAAACTTTTAAAAAATGAATAAATATTTATGAATAAACTATTGAAATACAAAAATTGCTAAATTTGATGAACTAGATGAATAATTATTCATGGTTCGTTTGTTTATTCATCTGTTCAAATTTTTACGGCGACTGGAAAAACTTTATTTATTTTTATTATTTTTTCTATTTATTTTTTATATATGCTTTATGATGTCAATTTCGATTAGAAATTTCAACCTAGTTTGGATATGATTTTGGTTGACAAATATATAAATATAATATCATATATATTCTTTATGATGTCATTTCGATTAGAAATTTTAACCTAGTTTGGATATGATCTAGGTTGACAAACATTTCTGATAACTTATTTGGAATAGGGCATTTATATTTGAGTGGATTATAATTTTTGCAATCTGTTAGTATGTATTGAATTGATAATCTAGTTATACATTGATCATAAGTTTGGTGGTGGTTTCTTTTTCGGAATCTATTGCAGTGTCATTTTTGTGTGCCAAATTTTTAATCTGTTTAATTCAACTTGGAAATTTCTATCGAACCTAGTAAGTTATTGGTTTTTTTGATTTTGTATTAGTTTCAAAAAAGTGTTTATTTCATTTCAATTGTTTTGTCATTTTCTATTAATGTTTTGTTCTATAAATTTCTTAATACCAATGTAGATGGAACATAAGAAATTGGTTGTGAGCGTGCCATAGTTGCTTCTCTATGTGAACGTGCCATAGTTGCTTCTCTATCTGCTTTTTCATTACCATCGATTCCTATGTGGCTTGGGATCCATACGAAAATTAAATTATTATTCAAAATGTTGCTGATTTTGATTTTCAAGGAAACTAAACAATGACGCCAGACTCTAAAGCGCACCGAAAATATATATGGCTGCGTTCAAGGGCCAACATAGGTATGCTAAGAATATAAATCGATCTATCAATTAGTTTATAAAGCGCTATTTCCGCGATGTTCAACAGTGCTCTTCAGGGACCTTAGCAAATAGATGGGTCTTGAGATCCGCTCTGAAATTCGTATGATGGAAAAGTAGTCAGATAAAGAGGTAAAGAGTTCTAGAGAAAAGGGCCAGAAAAAGCAAACGCAGATTTAGCAAAAGAGTGTTCAACACGAGTTAAGAAGTGAGAACAAGAAGACGATCGCAAACCAGGGCATTTAAGTTCAATTAATATTTTTGATAAGTACTTAGGAAATAATTTAGATTGAGATTTATACATTAATGTGCAAATATAAAAAATTGTTCTTTATTTTATAGGTAGCCAATGCAAGAAAGCAAGATTTGGAGATATATGAGAAAAAAAGGGGGCTCGAGCAACTAGACGAGCAGCAGAGCAGAGCTTTACTTAAAAGATAGAGTGTAGAATTAGGAAGACCATAGTAAAACAAGTTACAATAACCAAACTTAGATAAAACTAATGAAATAACAAGAAGAAGAGCAAGATCGTCAAGAAAAGGCAAAAGTTTTTTTTATTCTACGTAGTGAAATTAAAAACTTCTAGCAACACTATTAATCTGAGAAAAAAGAGACATGCTAGAATCAAAGATAAAGCCTAAACTACAAAACTTGTGAGAAACATCAAAAGTTTTAGAATCAGGTAAGATAAAAGAAGGAATAGTAATAGAGTGTTTAGATTTATTAAAACAAATTAATTTGAATTCAGGATTAAGTTTAAAACACATAGAGTCAGATCAAGCGATAATTGAAGAATGACAAAGAGATAGATTATGAAGAACACTATTGAGGTTAGATGGAGGAAAAGAAGAAATATAAGAAGCATCAGCATATAGTTGACTAATAAAAGAAAAATTATTAATAATACGTAGTTCAGAAGTGTGGAGTATAAGTAGAAGAGGGCCAAGGATAGAACGTTGGGTTACCTAAAAAGTAAAAGTAGAATTATTAAGAACAACAGAAAAAAACGATTACAGAAATAAGAAGAAACCCAAGATAAACAAAAATCAGTAATATTAGTAGAATGATCTTGCAGCCTCAAGAGATTAGTATGATCAACGGTATTAAAAGCCGAAGAAAAGTCAAGAGAAAGAAAAATTAACTAATTTGAAAAATAGGATAAAATATTGAAAAAAATTCTTTAGGTAAGTTAGAAAGAAAAGATCTAGAGAAAAAGTTGTAGATGACAGAATTAATAGATTTAGTAACTTACTAAAAGATTTATAGGAGTAAATACAGAAAAAGATTCAGTAGTAAGTTTAGTAAAGTTTTGAGGAGTAGAATGAGAATTAGATGTTCTTAAAGATTTCTTTGTATTTACAAAAAAGTCATGATGTTATTTAGCAAAAAAAGATGAGCGAGAAATTTTTTTTGAAGAACTTAGATAGAACAGACCACCTATTCTAGATTATAGAGTTTATAAGTAGAGTGTTTAGAGAATAGTAAATGGTGCTTTTATAAACTAATTGATTGCATTGATTCCATTTTTTCCTTTTCTCTCGATGTATTTTATATTTTAAGCATTTTTTTAAATTTTCTTTTGCATTCTTTTAAGTATGTTATGTAATTTAAAAAATGCATTCTCCGTAGTTTGTATTATTATAATATCTACAAATTAAAAAATTTAAACTTCTAGGATGTAGACAGAAAGTGAATTTATTATTTGAAAAAATTATTCAAATGGAAGATTCAATGAAGTTTGGAAGAAATAAGTTATTTCGTTGGAAGTTTTAATGTGATGACAAAAATTGAGTCCGTCAAGATGTAAAAATATTAGTAAAAATTTATATTTTTTATTTTGATGGTGTTTTACGATTTTTGCTTTGTTTTTAATTTAATATAGAGAACTAATTTTTTAAATTACAAGTTTTATTATATTTTCAGTCACAGTTTTTTAAAAAAATTTTCCGTTACCTGGGGTGAAATAAAAAATTGTGTAAGTTACATTTCGAGCAGTTTAAAAAATATGGAATGAAATATTTTAAAATTTACAATTTTTCCATTAAAACAAATGTTTTAAGTTAAGGCACTTGAGATAAATTTAAATGTTCGGGTAAGAATATAAATAAAAAAAATATATAAAAGCAAATCGATATAAAAAATACCAGCACCGTAAATCTATCAAAGAAGTAAAAATATTTTAAAAATTAATTTTAACATTTTTAAAACAAAATTTACAAAACCTTTTTAAATAAAATTGATTTTGTGTTTATGTGTAAAATTCTTTGTTTTGAGGAAAAATTCATAGCCATTTTAAAATATTTCCAAAGTTTTTCTTTGTCTATGTTGTGATTTATGGATATTGGAACACAATTTTTTCAGCTTATGTATAATCATTTTAAAACTGCTAAAAGAAGTGTAACCGCAAATTATGCATTTACTATTTCTGCTTCTGAAAATGTTTCTCTTTAATTTTGGGTCAAATTGCTGGCCATGCGTAAACTTTAAACGTTTCTTTACAAATTTATCACGATTACGCTTAAAATCACTCGGGAAGCATGAAATTTTCATTAATGAACCGTGCTGCTTGATATGATATACAGTTTTCATATAATTGTTTGAAAAGTAAGAGCACTTGCAACAACCGAAAAATTGTTTTTCATTTTTATTTATCAACTTTAATTTATCTTTTTGATTTTCAATTTTTTTCATCTGGAAAATCTTTGAAGAGTATTTAAAATTATTGCTCAACAGATTCGTTTTATATTTGATTTCAAATTTAGAATCACTCAATTCTGAATTAATTTCACCACTGACAATTTTATCATGACATTCATCTTCATGAGCTGACGACATATGATTTTCTAGAACGTGTTGGCGATTAACACTGTAATCACAATGGTAGCATATGTAACGACCTCCGTTTCCATGTTTGGTCAAATGTCTTTGTAATGTAGTTAAGTTGTCAGTAAAATAATTACACTTACTACAACAACGTAATTTTCGTTTGCGTCTTGACATGCCAACTTGCTCTTCAGACTCAGTGGTAGTAACTTTAATTTGATTCCTCTTTACTTTGGTTTGTATATTAAATGATGTTTTATTTAATACATGTGGTTGAAATGTATCAATGTTAAAAAGACCAGTATTTGGAAAGGTGTTTTTATATGTTTCTTCATAGGATTTCACTTCAGTGTTTTGATTTCTGCATAGAAGCAAACCTAAACTTAACAAAAACGTTTTTTTCCCGGTATTGCACTCATCCGAATTAATATTTATAGTTGATTCAGTTTTGTTTGAATAACATTGTTTCAGTTGATGTTTAAAAAAAACACATAACGTAAACGTTTCAAAGGTGCATGTCTTACACTTCAGTCTTCCGTCAGATAACAAATCTGCGTTGAATTGTTTAAAAGCAGAGCTCACATCAACCATTTTTTTGTAACCCAGGTTGAAATCATTTGCATTTTCTAACCTTTTTGTAAAAACGTGATTGTATGTTTTTATGTGTTTTTTTAAATCGCATTTCCATTTCGAAGTATATCCGCAAGTTTCACAACAGTAAGGTTTTTCATCAGAATGAACTCTGGAATGTCTTCTGAGTTCAGCAGAACTCTGACCAACAAATTGACATCGTACGCAAGAATGTAAGTCTAATTGTTGACATTGCGATTGATCTGAAAAGGACGCTAAGTCTTGACAATCTGAAAAGTTATTACATGTCGTTAAACTTGCTTCACTGTGGGAAACTATGACATTTTTTGAATGTCCATATAGATTTTTATTGTCGTTTAAAATAACACTTGATTTGTCAATTACATTTCTTAAGCAAGGTGATGAAGTGGTTAATTTAGAATAATTTCCCGTTTCATTTAAATGAGGTTTAGCTTTTAGTAACATTTCATCGACAATAGGTTTTGAAAATAATTTCAGACTCTTTTGCAAACTATTATCACAATTATCTCTGTTGCTTCCACATCGTTTCAAATGTTTAACTACATCCCACTTCCATTTGGATCTATTTTGTAAAAAAAGTTTTGTATTAAAAATGGTAGTTAAAAATTCAATTAACTATTGTACACACACGCACAAATAAATAAATAAAAGAAATATAAATACATATATATATATATATATATATATATATATATATATATATATATATATATATATATATATATATATACTGTCAAAAATGAAATTATTGATGAAAATCACATGTCCGGCGTTAGTTAACTTCCAATTTAACTTTTCGATTTTTCTAACGTTGATCGAAAATCATTTTCAAGTTTCTTTAGTTCAAAACCAAAATTTTTGTTTATTTTATGCATGATAGAACAATGACATCCGATAATAAATATTCAACAACGGGCAATTGAAATTTTTCCTACCAATAAATTTTAAAACAGAGAAATTATCGATAATGAAAACACATAGAAGTGTTTTATTTATCGATAATGAAAACACGTAAAAGTGTTATATTTTACGCTGTTGAAGATTTTAAAACTAAATATTCACTTTAAAAAAACAAGGAACCAATAAATAGACACAGTATAAAAATATTTGAGCATCTGGGCAGAACCACAACATATCAATCTGAACACCGAAGATGGTATAGGAATACCGAAAAAAGCTTTTCTGTTCTATATGTACACACACACACACACACACACACACACACACACACACACACACACATATATATATATATATATATATATATATATATATATATATAATATATATATATATATATATATATATATATATGCATTTATGACAGTTCTAATCCAATATATATCCATTATCGATTCTGGTTTACTGGTGCAGTTGTTTTCATCAGAAGCAAAGACGTTCTTTGCTTGGGATAATATATTCGTTATTTAATAATACAGCTTTCGTCGATTGCTTAATTAAATATAATACTTTGAGGTGTTTTCATTATCGATGATTCCTCTGTTTCTAAGTTTATTGGTAGGAAGAGTTCTAATTGCCCGTTGTTGAACATTTATTATCGGATGTCTTTGTTCTATGAGTATTGCTTCGGCTAGTCGTATTCTATAAGTATTGATTTGACTAGCCGAATCAATACCAGAGAATAGAAACCATATAATAAGCATCCAACAACAGGATGTAACGATCCTACCAACAACAAAATTACTCACACAAAGAAACAATGGAATTTAGAGTTCCTTTGTTAAAAATACTATAAATACCAGATGAACTACATAAAACAATATCACAAACTCTATTACAATGATGATGGTAAATGTTACCGAAAAAAAGCTTTTATTTAAATGTATATATGAAAAATGCAGTCTAAAATAGTTAGAAACTTTATTATTAATTTGAATAAATCGATGAATTAATTGTTCGAAAAAATTGAAAAACTTAGTTACAAACTCAACAATGCGGAAAATGAGGTGATATTTTTAACTGTATATACGACAGTCTGAACCCCAATATATATATATATATATATATATATATATATATATTGGTGGTGATGATGGCATTCATGGTGACTGTCTGACGACAATGAGTATTGATAGTAGTAGTTTTAATGGTAATGCTTGTGGGTGTGATGATGGCCGTGGTGGTGTTACTAAAAAATATTCGATATCAAATTGTAATGTTAATGATTTTAAAAATTATGGTCATATTAGTGGAAGTGATAGAGTTGGTGGTAAAGATGGTGGTGGCAATTTTATAATAAAAGTTGTTAGTTTTAATTTGAATAATAATTGTAATGTTGTTGGTGGTGAAGATTTTGGTGATCTCAGCCTGACCCTTGGGGTTGTAGGAAACGATTATTTGGATTCTTCTCTCAACGGTAATAAATGTTTAATGATGAAAAGCACTGGCAATGATTTCAATGGTAGGGGAAGATGTCATAAGATGGGACGCTTTCTAAGAAGAGACGCTTTCTAATTTATTTTGCAATTTTTGGCTTTGAATAAATTATTAATATGTCAATTGCTTACTTTTCTATCTAGGTAACGCAAAATATTTTTATTGTTAATCGCGGTTGATTTTTGGTTAAATATTTTCAATTTTTTCTAATTTCGTTAATATTTTGCGAAGGATTTTAAAAAGGATTTTAAATGAGTTTTCAAAATAAAATTTTGTTTTTTAAATATAATTAAAGAAGAATGTCTCTAGATTAATATCTTACAAATTCCTTAAGTGTCTCATCTTATGGCATCTTCCCCTAATGATCGTAATAAAAGTGGTGGCTTTAATGATCGTAAAAAGGTAGGTAGTAACAATGTAATGAAAGGTGGTGCTGTTGGTAGAAATACTGGTGGAATTGAAAATGATCGGACTAATAATAATTTTTGTGTGCTTAAAATAAATTTGGGTTTATTAAATAAAATATTGATTGGCTCATTTATGATTTGATCAGTGATGGTTTGGATATTTTTGTTGTCACTGAATCATGGCATGGTTCATCAAAAAATCCCTCCATTGCGTTGTCCACTCCTCCTGGTTACCGCTTTGTAGATTGTGTGAGAGATCACGACCTTCTCCATGGTGGTTTGATAATATTTTTTTGTCTAGGTTGAAAATGTAAAAAATAGCCTTACCCACAGTCAACACATTTGAAGTTTTGGCGGTCAGGTTTACAGTTAATAGTCAGGAGTTTATTTTGCTCGCTATTTACCGACCGGGCTCTGCACAGCTGTCTGGATTGTTTTTTAAAGAACTGATTTCTATTCTGGAAAACATTACAGTACTCAGTTCTCGAAATATTTTAACCGGAGACTAATGTTCACGTTGAAAAGACGAATGATCCTTATGCTGCTAATTTAAATGATATCTTCGATCATTTTCAACTCATCAATCATGCAAAAGCACCAACACATCTACGTGGTGGTACACTAGACTTGATAGTGGCCTCTGAGGTTTTTCCAGTTCATGATTGTTTAGTCCATCCAAGTAGAATTTATTCTGATCATAGTTTTATTTGGACTGAACTATCGATGACTCGAGGATATTTGGTTGGAATTAAAAAAGTTTCTAAAATATGGAATCAGATAAATGTTGATGACTTCATCAAACTCGTGCTTGAATCTCAAGTCTCCAAAGCATGTCAAAGCAATAAGTTAGACAAGGAATTGCATTTATTTAATAACGAGTTAAAATCTATTGCCGATAAAGTTGTACCTATTCGTGCAGTGACCGCCAATAACGTTCGTATGGCTCCGTGGTTTGATAATGATTGCAGGTTAGTCAAGCGTTTGTGCAGAAAAATGGAAAAAAGTTCAGAAAAAGTTCACAGTTGATTCATCAAGATGAATGGAAGACTGCTTTAAAGAGTAAATCGGAACTTTTCTCTAAAAAACGTTGTCAGTATTGGACAAAAATTGTTGATGATAATAAGATGAAACCAAAAAATCTTTGGCGTGTTGTGAACAGCATTCTCTGTAGGGGTCGTAACGATAAATCCTGCTCGGATATAGATGAACTAACATCTGATCGATTTATGTGCTATTTTAATGAAACGTTAAGCAAGCTGAGAGAGTGTCAACAACGATGCTCAACCGAGCCTAGCAGATTTCCTATCAGGTGTCAATAATATTTTGTTCTTAACGTTTTCTATGGTTTCTGAAGAGGAGGTAATACAGTTAGTTCAAAATTCACCTACAAAGTCGTGTCGACAAGATGTAATACCTACCCACGTATTAAAAAAGTTTATAAAACTATTCGCACCATTTTTGGCAGGCCTGATAAACAGCAGATGGAATGTGGGACAGTTTCCCTCTGGCTGCAACCATGCTATCATAACTCCGCTGCTGAAGAAACATAATCTAGACGAAAATGATGTTGGGAATTACAGACCAATTTTCAATCTGTCTTTCCTATCCAAAATTATCAAACGTGTGGTTGCCAGGCAAACACTCAGTTACTTGAACAATAACAATTTAATGCCGAAATTTCAATCTGGATTCCGTCAGTACCATTCGACTGAGACTGCTCTTTTGCAAGTTTTCTCAGAAGTGTACGGGGCAATTGATGAACAAAATGTGGCAATGCTAGTCTTTCTTGATATGTCATGTTTGAGTCGTATCTGGTAGGTAAATCACAACAAGTATCATTTGGTGGTAAATTGTCTGAGGTTAATGTTATGCTGTCTGGTGTGCCACAAGGTTTAGTTCTAAGGCCTATTCTATTTCTGATCTATACATCTGAAGTACTAAAGATAATAGAATCATTTGGTTTTTCAGGTCATGCTTTTGCGGACGACTTACAAATTATTGTTACGAGCAGACCAGATTTTTTAAAATCAGAGTTGGACAAATTGGTCAAATGTTTGTCTGGGGTCAATAAGTAGTTGCAAAACAATGGTTTGAAACTAAACCAAAACAAGACTTTTTTACTCAGCGGTTATAATATATATATATATATATATATATATATATATATATATATATATATATAAATACACATATTAGGGATGCACCGGATTCAGGTTTTTCAAATTCGGCCGGGGACGGACTTGGCCGAATTTAAAATTCAAAAACCGGCCGGGGCCAGATTTTAGTTACCATTTTACATACGTTATAAAAAATACTCATATTTACAATTATCTACATGTTGAACATCAAAAAATAACACCAAGCAAATAGTTAATTAATTCAAATATATTAATAAGTTGTGTGATACGCCAAATTCTGTACACAAAGATCAGCTTATAATTTAGGCATAACCCGTGTTATAGCATAAAGAAAATTGTCCAGCTCATCTCATAATTAGTGATGTTGTTATTATGTGTCATGTATGCACGTGCACAAATTCTTTTACACAAAGATCAGCTTATAATGTATGCATAACCCATGTTATAGCTCAAAAAAAATTGTCCAGCTCACCTCACAATTAGTGATGTTGTTATTATGTGTCATGTATGCCTAGCCTAACCTTTAACATACCATGTTCTTAAATTATGCGCTTATGTATCTCTATGTATAAATATATATTATGTAGCTATATGATCCGTCATATACAATTATATAGTATAAACACGTGCACAAGTTCTTTTACACAAAGATCAGCTCATAATTTATGCATAACCCATGTTATAGCACAAAGAAAATTGTCCAGCTCATTTCACAATTAGTGATGTTGTTATTATGTGTCATGCATGCTTAGCTTTTAACTTATTGACATAAAATTAAATGAATTCAATGAAATTTTTTTCTATTTATAACATTTTTAAATGTCGATAGACGCTTAAATCCGACCACCAAATCCGGCCGGGGACGGATTTGATAAAAAAGCCGGAATTTGGCCGGAGCCAATTTTTTTCTATTTATAACATTTTTAAATGTCGATAGACGCTTAAATCCGACCACCAAATCCGGCCGGGGACGGATTTGATAAAAAAGCCGGATTTTGGCCGGAGCCCGGGCCGAACTTCGGTGCATCCTTAATACACACACATATATATATATATATATATATATATATATATATATATATATATATACATATATATATATATATATACACACACATATATACATATATGTAAGGTGGCCGTGAAATGAAGAAACTCCAGCAGAAACACCAGATGAATTTTTGGTATATTTATGGAATTGCATTACTTTAATTATTACATAAATTAATTATAAAAATACGTTAATCAACTTTTTCTAAAGTCGAAGAGGCTATTACAAGTAAAAACTTTGATTGCGTGAGGCTCAGAAGCTGCCGTTCGGATTACCTAGCTATTTTGTTTACGGAATTTATTGCTGCTGTGAAGCACATTTTTGACAATCGATGCAGGAAAAGTTTTCAAGTTTTGTTACCTCTTAGGTGGTTAGGATTGAGGGATGTGAAGGTTATTTTTTGGTGTCGAGAAAGGTATGAGCATGTTTGAATCAGCCATTGTGAAAATTTTTGACGAAAGTGTAGATATCCTCGATGAAATGAAAAATGGCGTTCAGCTAATTGTTGAAAATTCTGTCAAAGGGGAAGATATAAACGATTTGAAATCAAATGTGCAGCAAATCGTTTGATAAATCAGTCGAGGTCGGTGTTATGAAAGATCTAAAAATGAAACTAGATAATAAAGTTTTTTTTGGAAAATCAAAGTTTGAAAATGAAATTAAATAATGAAATAAAATATCTAAAGAAATATTAAAGATTAAACAAAACGATGTTGTTTTAAAAAATATTAGTGATAATAATTTCACATCAGTGAAAAATAAGCTGCGGTTGCTGCAATAAAACGCATCTTCTAATGAAGCTGTTGGTTCCCAGCCTGCTGGTGTTTCAAAATTATCAGCGAGAAAAATTTTCACGTGGAAAAGAATATTTCATGTCAGCAATATAAATAGATGGGTCGCGGGAGATGTTCTTGAGCATCCCAAATCGATTAATGTCAAAGCAATATCACGTTATCCGGCTTTTAAAGTGAGGATGAATGAGGTTAGGCCTGATGATTCGCGTCCATCTACATCGTTTCGTTTATGCAGATATTGTATTAAAGGACAGTTCATGGCCTAAAAATGTTAAAGTCCGAGATTGGATATTTGGTGAAACACGTTACATGAAGAAATGAATCAGGGTCATGACAAAGACTAGACAAGAATTTGTTCAGTGAACTGTTTTAATGATTATGGATTGATATTGATTTCTATGACAATGTGTTTATCTGTTTTGTAATTTTTTATGTTGTTAGCGCTTTTGAACTATAACTCACTAGCGCTACATGAATATAAATTTTTTTATAATAATATAATGAAAAGAGATCATATTTTATACAGTTTTTTATGGATTCTACCGAATTGTTGGCATTAACAAATTTAAAGTTTGTCATTTCAATTTTCCTACAAAATAATATCGACGATCAACAGGTTGATCATCTCTTTATATATATATATATATATATATATATATATATATATATATATATATATATATATATATATATATATATATATATAAGGGTGGTTCACAAGTTCACATTAGAATGGGGGGAAAATTTTTTTCTCTGATTTGAGTGCACACCCTCTGAAAAGTTTCCATTGGGTCCTAAAAATTTACAAACATAAATAAGACAAGTCAAATTAAATTTAAAGGTTGCTCATGCATCTCAAAATTATATAAAAATGTGATAATTCATTATTTCAAAACCAATTGCAAATATAAATGGAAAGTATCAAAAGTCGGTTACTTAATTGAAAACATAGATATTAGATATATTAAAATGCAAATATAAATCAATCAAACCACAAGCCATGACAGGATGAACCACTCATTGCTACAGATGATGCGGTCTGACACAGTACCATTTTTGACATCGTTTTTTTTCACTGACAGCTTATACATCCCACGAGAGGATTACAAAGAGTTTGTTGAACTCTGTCGCTTAGTGCTGGATTATCCAATGCAGACTGATGGGAAATACCATTACCGTGTTCCTGGAGCATATCACACGAATGGATTGATGGCCAGATGGATGGCCAAAGTGATCTACTGTCTCAGAATGCATTTGTTCCGCAATGAATTCAAGCTAACAGCAACTGAAACAAAAAGTTTAACTGAATTCTGCCTATTTGCAACACATATATATGTGCCGGCATGGATGTTGTTTCCAATACTCAGTGATGCATCAGTCAAATACCTACAACTTCTGGGCAAAATTGAACAATACTTTGAAATCAACAAGAATGTAGCAAGTGCAGGCACAAAAAAGTTTAAGAACCACGTACAGAAATGGTTTAGCTGTCATTGTTTACAAATAAGAATGAAATTGTCGAGAAGCAGTTAATAGTGGAAGCAATGACTGCAGTAGATTCTGACTGAAGTATGCGAGGTGTCAAATATCTTGCAAGTGAACTGGAACAGGTAAAAAGCAAATCACTGCATGATCTAGCATCAGCATGGACTTCTAAATAATTAACACCAGGACGGAAAACTGAAATAAATTTTTTTTACAAGCATACAATTCTATGCTTCGTTATGCTGTTTAACTTATTATATAATTTTAAACTATAGTATAATTCGCGGATTAATTTACTTAAACTTTCACGCACGGTTAGTGCTAACCATTATCGTTATAGTGCTTAGAAGTTAGAATGGATTTTTATTTGTACAAGTTGAATTTAATTATGTCGTTATGCGTTAGGTTTACAATTAATAGAATAAAAATTTATTTAATTTCTAATTTAATCGCAAACCTAAATTTGAAAGACGTTAATGTTAAAACTATTATGTTTTCCTAATTTTAAATGAACTAAAAATTTAAAACTTATCTTATTAATTACAGAAAAAATTAAAAAATCTTTTTCAAATACTCAATATTTGGATGTAGAACTGGTTATGATGAGGCCACAAATACTGGAATCAGCATCCATAGATATTCTTAAGTTTTGCAGCAAATGGATGAAAGCAAATTCTCGTCAAGATTTTGAACCGACCAAATATTCAAAAGTTTGTTCACTGCATTTTCAAACAAATGATTTTACACATGAATCAATAGATTCCAATCAAAGAAGAAAAAAAGCAAGGTCAAATAAAAATGTTAAACATTTAAAGCCAAAAGCTGTGCCTTCAATATTTCAAAATGCACCAAAATATTTAAGCACATCAAAATCAGAAAGACCAACCAGATTGGCCACATCAAACAGCGACTCAATTCTGAAACTCACAGATTAAATTTAATAAATAAAAATTTTCAGATAGATTTTTTAAATATCTAAGATATATCAATTAAAAAGGTTGCATTGCCACCAATATCTACTTTTAAAAAATTACCAAAATTTTCAACATAATACAGGCTTATCAGACAATGACTATTTAAAGATGAGATTTGATCTCTAAAGAAAAGGAAAATGACTTAAATTCAGATTTCAGGTATTTGAATCAAGTCAATAGGGAAGGACTTATTCCAACTGAATATGCCTGGACAACATGTTTAAGAATATTCAGTATTTTTCTGGAGATGAAAAAATCTGAACAACTGTTTAATACATTTTTAAATGCAAAAATCCAAGTATTTTTTTTCAAAGGATAAATGAAAGAACGAATTTTGAAAAATTTTCTTCTTTATTATTTATTTATCTAATTATTGTGATAATTCCCATGATATACAATTATATTTGTGCAAATCCCTTTTTAACTGCTTAAACAAAAATTATGTTAAATTTTTATCTAACGTTAAAATAACGGAAAAGAAAAAAAAATGAATAACTGAATTTATTGTTGTGTTTTATTACAATTTCGATAGCATACGTGCTGAATACGATAGGTTAACTGTCCGTCTAGATATGTAACCTAGTTAAAACGCTTGTCCGTCCTGGTGTATTATTTAGATGTCCGTCCATGTAGTATCAGGTGCATTTCGTGCTTCATTGTTATCACTTAGAATGGATATTGCTTTCCTGCGTGAAACTGAACTAGACTCATGGAATGATCTTCCTTAGTTTCCAAAAGTAGCAAATGCTGTGAAGTCACTTAAGGTTGCTAATGACGCTGCAGAACGCACTGTTGCAATCATGACAAATTTTAACCAGTCTATAACCAAAAATAAAACAGAACTGCAAAAACTGATACAGCTGCTGTTATGTTGTGAATTCGACGTACTCAGTGACTGAGTGATCAACAGAAAAACATAAACTAAGTACATTGATTGGCTCAAGTTGATTTTAATTCAGTTTCTCAATCAAAGATTAACAGTACTGAACTTTCGTTTGGTATAATCAAGTTGCCTGAACCTTGTGAGAACTGTTTGTTTAGTGTTGGATATTTTGTTAGTTGGATTATAAATTTGTTGAACTGTTAAATCTTAAATGATTTTCACAAGAATGTTGTCCATTTTACTGCAAAATAAACATTAATCACAAAATTGCAGCACAGACCAATATTCACTATTATGCTAAATATGATGAAAAACTGAATGTCATTGAGTAATTTCTGAAATATTGTCAGAATTGATTGAAATTTTGCACACATGCTAACTTTCAGCTACGGAAAAAATATAAGGGGTGTGCACTTAAATATTAAAAAAAAATTTTTTGAACAACCCTAATATAGGTTGAGTAAACAAGGGCTTGTTTTATTAAAGTTCTCGTTAAAGTAATTATAATTAGTTTTGGTAATTATTGGTAGGGTAAGTGTTGTTATTAAAGTTTCTATTAATCATTAGGCACTCTTGTCGGAATGAATGTTCATATATGAATGTTAATGTTAACATATTTTGTTAAATGTCTGTGATAGTTTTCATAGCAATTTTTAATTTGAAAAGTCTGTGTATTAATAGTATATACTGTTGTATTTTGTTAAATGTCTTTTATATTCATAAGTTTTTCCTTATCTTATATATAAGAGTTTATCCGTTTTGAGTTTTTACTAAAAACCTTTACACTTACAAGCAGTTGTCTCTAGTACTCTTTAACTTTGTTTCTTTATATTTAGCAATTTAACAGTAAAGATGAGCGGGAATTCAAATTTATAACAATTTTCCGTAAAATTTACGTCCCCTATTTTTGGACTTCATTTTCGCGTATTTCATTTATTTTTCTCATCTCAATTTTTAAATTTCCCATCTCATATGTTTGCATTTACCAATATTTTAAGCAAAAAGAAAATTAATGAAAGAAAGTTTTAATTGAATAAACATCAAAAAGTATGTTCTTTACTGTATAAAAATAAAAAAGGGTTCAAATTTTCTCGGGACAATTTTATTCTAATAAAAAAATTTTCAAAGTTGATTGTAATATTTTTTGGCAATTATGAATTGTCATAAATTCATAAATCGATGTTTGCCATTTTGGTTGATGATCAAGCATTTGTTAAATAATTTTCATGAGAGGATAATGCAGCGCTTAAAAAAAGAAGAAAGTAAACGTTGCTTTTACATATCAAAATGTTTTGAAGAGATAACATCTTAATCGAGATTTGAAAATAACCATCTAATTATATCTTAAATACATTAATGCCTAACCCCATGAGTCATGACATTTCAACTTTTAAATTGTATATGTGTTTATGATAACCATAATTTGTGTTGCATAAAATATTGCTGATTCAGTTTGTTTTTAAATAAATTGTTTTTTTATTAAAAGTTGGCTCATATCACTTTTCCCATTCCTATCCATAATTCCAAATTTCCGTCAAGTGATAAAAATCTCATTTCCGAAAATATTTTTCTACAAATCCCAGAGAAACCACAATAATCCCGAAGTTCTTGTTCCTATGCTCACCTTTAGCATGGATTCGGTCTTACATATTTACATCTGATTGGTAACATACTTACATCGTTGATGGACGTGCCAATTTTGATTTTCCTATTTGAAGATCTTCTGAATTTTATGTGGTAATAAACGGTAAAAATTTATCGAAATGCAATTTAGTTTGTCTTTTCCTTTTTTAGAATAAATTATTATTATTATGTATATATATATATATATATATATATATATATATATATATATATATATATGTTATAAAAACGTTATTATGCGAATTAAATAAAAAAATTACAGTGTAGCTCAATGTAACTTAATTCAAGTTTTGGAAAAAAATGCCTGTATGTGACTTAACGATGAGCAGAAAATAATAATTAAATTCAAAAACCAGACTAAACAAATAAATGTTAATGTAAGCAGTTTTATTAAAGGTTAATACATTTAAATTTGATAATTTGTAATTTATGAAAAAATTCGTAGTAGTACATAAACATAACCTGTATGAACATTGTGGACATTGATACGGTTTTTCATCGGAATGATTTTTCATATGTTGCGTCATTTCTGATGGCCATCGAGCTTTGTATCCACAAAGATTGCATTCGTACGGTAAAGTTACTTCGTTGGTTGTTTCTTTTTTATGTTTTCCAATCTTTGGTTGAGATAAACAAACTATTTTATTATTATCTGTTAGCGATTCTTCTCCAGATTCATATGAAAATTTTATCGTGAGTTCATTTATAAGTTTTCTATCGGAATTATTTAAAATAATTTTTGAATGTAATGTTGTGTTTACTGATGTGTCACTTTCTTCTGGTGCTTTAGGAATGACAATAGCAGTTTCTTGGTTAGCTATGTTAAAAGCATTACCAGTATTATTTTCCAATTCTCTTAACAAAAGTTCATTTGTTTCTGGCTTTTTCTGATGTATTTCAGTTAAATCATTTGTTGATTTGAACTCCAAAGTAGAGCTCAAATTCAAAAGTATTTTGTATGGATTAGGCTCAATTTCCGCATGATCTGATTCAAAATGTTTAGAAAGTTTCAAGAGACAATTTTCTGATTGATCACATATAAAGCATTCATTGCAATTAATTTTGTTCGAAAAATTATCGCAAATTTCATTATTATCTTTTTTGTATTCACTGGTTGTAACTTTTTTGTCAGCAATTTTGTATAAAGCATCAATATGGTATGATAGAAAATGTGCATTTAATTGTTGTTTATTGTCAAATAACTGACCACATTCTTTGCAAAGTTCTGTTTGAACATTCAAAAGTTTCAAATCAATTACCCTCAAATCCGTTTTACTTTCTTGGCTTAATTTTGCTTTAACAGAATAATCAAGGGGTTTCTCTGAACAATTTAATTGAGACGAAATAGATTTCATTGACAGATCTAAAACTTCATTGTAATCGCTAGTTCCAAAAGAGTGGCTATGTGCTGCAAAAGGAACAACAGTTTGTGTCGGAACGAAATTGAAATGAGAAATCAAAATACCGTCAGACAAACTATTTTTTTGACAAAATTCCAATGGCAAAGAACTTGCATTTTTGAATTGAACTGTATTATCAGAACTGTCAACATAAGAATTTATAAGAGGTGTTGTTTTAAACAATCCGGCGCAAGAATATTGAGTTTTTAAATGATTTTTTTCAACATTTTGAGTGGTTTGTATGACAAAATTTTTAGAGTTTACCACAGGATTTAATTGAAACACGGGATGTTTTTGTAATCGCGGTTGTGAGAATTTAACATTTCTTTCTTTTTGTAATGTTAAAGAAGGTGTTTCACCATCATGCTTTTCTTTCCAATGTTTATTCAATGATTTTCTCCATTTATAAACATTTCCGCATTTTGAGCAAGCATATTTTGTTCCATCTGATTCATCCGTTAGTATAAAATATTTTGCTGGATCAACCGCCTCTCTAATTGGTGTACATCGTGGTTTGATGATATTCACAAAACCCTGGTTACTGTTGTTTGAGTTACTTTTATAAATCTGACTGACGAAATTGGCCGGCGTGGAGTTTGGTTTTAAATTATCAATTTCTTTGTTTAAAACATCATTCACTGCATTAATGTTTTGAACGTCGTTCGTGGGAGTGGTAAATGAAATTTGAGTGTTTATCATGTCTATTATTATATTTCTGCTACGGTTTATTTAAATTTTCTATCAAATTGCATTTTGGGATTGACAACGTTCATTCCCCAAACATAAGTCAAAATTGGATAGTCAATTTTTTGCCTTGCTTTTGCTATCGAAATAAAAAAAATTGATAACATTTAATAAGAACGCTATTAAAATAAAAAATGCAATTATGATATAATTTTTATACGTGCAAAAAATAAAGATCCTTTCCTCTTACAGCAATTGTTTCAGAAATACGTCTATAACATGAAAACTACGCATCACATATAGAACATTTTTTGCATTCAAACTAGGCTACTGCAAGGTGGGACCAGGTGCCTTTTACCGTTACTCCATCATGCCGTGCCGCCCAATATAATATTGTTATAACTGTCCCGGTCGACGACGAGTTCGTTTAATCCCAGGGAAAATAGAGGCAATATCACTTCTAAATTATCGATTTATTTATTTACAAAACAATAATTAATTAATTAATCAATCAAGAATCAACGTTAATTTTTATTTTTACTAATAAGAGTTAATGTTCACAAACTATCAAATAAACGTTCAGAAACTATCGCTTTCCGAATAACAATTCACTATTGTTTTTTGCAATTACAATAAAAATACAACGCAGAGTCAAACGTCAAATATCGCTTTCGACACTGATAATCAATCCCTTTCCAACATCAAATATTCAACAACAAATATTCAATATCTCGCATGCCTTTGTATAACCGTTTTATCGACGCTTCTCGGAGTTCCTAGATAACTCGCTGTCAGATGGTTCTAGTTTTCGAACTGTATGAGTTCCTAGCGACACTAGCGCCTCTAGCGAATATATTTGCGACGGATATAACAATATGTTACAATATTAAAACATTTGCAAATCCGCGAAAGTTTATTTTATTACATTAATTTCAAAAATTTAAAATGTGGCCAATGTCGTACCAAATGTTAAAAAAATAGACAAATTAATAAATAAATAAAAGAGTGAGTGAGTGAATTAATAAATGAATGAATGAATGAGCAAAAATTGCAACGAGTCGCTAACCAACATTTAGAATTTAACTATTGCTAATTTTAGTACCAATCGAAAAATAAAATTGAAGTGAATATTAATATATTTGTATTTTTTAAATAACACATAAATAAATTGATTAATTTAAATTTTTTTAGGAGGTTAATTTTTTGTTTGAATTTTACACGCACACTGGTTTGTCATTTGTTCAGTTGTTCTGTTGGCAATAATTATTTCACACTTGCATACGAATTCTGCGAATATATCAATTTCAATAACTATTGCATCAACTACATTAACAAAATTACTACCACATCAGCTTTGACAACTCCAACAAATTAACTTCAGCAAATGTCATTTTTGAAATGGCTTTTTGCCTGAAAATTGTGTCGCCATTTTTTAAAACTATGAAGATTTGATGACAGGTAAGAAAATTCTTATAAATGAGTTAGAATTAGCTAAAAAAGGATAAAAGGACAGATAAACCAATGTTTTAACAACGAGGCCTCTATATTGGGAAAGACACTTGATATAATCGTTATTTTAAATAACGCCTTGGAAAATAAATTAATTTCAAGCTTTCCTACTTTTGTGATACTTAATCCAAAAAGAGTTATTCAAGAATGTACAAAAGATTTGTTTGAATTAATACATAAAAACAATGAAAATATGGAATCCAAAATAACCAGTAATGATATGCTAATGTCCCTGGTGCAGCGTTGAATGTACAAGTAAATAAATTGACTGTACAGTAAAATGGCAGAATAAATTTAGAATAGCCTGGTCACAACTGCTTTATAGTAAAGCTGTAAACAATAATATGGTTGATCATAAAAACGTGAAAAATGAAAACGACTAAAATTCAATCGATAATCCAAGTTAAATAAATCCGAATAAACTGTGGCTGGACTCTTATCGTAATCCCACCAATGAACAAGAGCTATTGGAAAAAAATTAAGTTGCACATATGTTCCTAATAAAATGTAGAAAATAAAGTGTTTTTTAATTATCTTATTTTTTCAATGTTCAGCAGAGTACCAACTAATCGAATATCCTCAAGTGTGGCGACTTGCCTCGATTGACAAAATTTCAGAATTTTATAGTAATAACATCATAATTAACCATATTAATTTTATCGACAGGAGTATAGAAGAATTTGATTTAAAATGTTTAATAACTTATGAACTAGATTTAAGCATGAATATTATTAATATTACCATATAATTTGCGAGCGATAAAGCTTACTTTAAATTTTTCTATTATTTCATTAAAATTTGTTACGCTCAATATTTTTTAACCTTTTAAATCTGTGTTTTATTATTTTTATAACAAATCATGTTTTTTAAAAAAAAAACATGTTTTTCAAAATTTTAAAAATATTAGAATTATCTCATATAAATAAAATTATTTTGTTTAATTGTACTGAACAGAAACAATTTGAGCGAATGTAAAATATAACGGAGACCACAATGAGTAATAATTATATTAAGCATATAATTCATACTCGACAGAGGCCGCTGCGTTATCAAAACTTTCACGCTAATACTTTTTAATTACGAAATGAATAAGCTAAATAAATATATTTGGCACACACAAATACACAAGCACAGGATTTCATGGTTCCTCGTTGTGAGTCAGTAAAACTCAGTCATTACATAAACAACGTCTCCCGGATCCGCCCATGTACACACACACACACACCACACACACACAGACACACACAAACACAAATACATAGATACACACACGCACACGCAGAGACGTAAGTATTTAAAAACAAGTTGTATAATTTAAAATTAAACCACTCAAAAAAACGAATGTTAAAGTTAAAATTTAAATATATAAACTAACAGTGAAGTTCATTTTGTCCTGACTGTCATAGCCACTGTTTATAGAAGTTTCATCAAATTGTGGACAAATACAACAAACAACTTGTAATTTTAAAATTTAAATATTAAACAAAGTTCAACATTTTCTTAAAAATGTCAATATCAGAATAAAATCTGTCACCACATTCATCCGAACTAGCCAAACTGACTAAAATGAATTAAAACACCTACAGATAAATAAACACACTCATACTTACATATGTATATATATATATAACTGTGTTATATATAAATAAATATATATATATATATATATACATGCATATATATGTATATATATATATATATATATATATATATATATATATATATATATACATATATATGCATGTATTATGTATGTACATTTACACACACACACACACCACACTCTCACACACACTCCACTCACACACACACATATATATATATATATATTCCGTATATATATATATATATATATATATATATATATATATATATTTCGTATATATATATATATATATATATTCTATAAATTTTACCGAATGTTTGGCGTTAATTCGTTTTTTCAATTTTTCTCACTAAAGTTTTTTGTTGAACGTTTAGTT